GTGCTTTTGGTCGGTACTCGAATGTTGTGTATAGCTACGTCCTTAGTTGTTGAAAAGCCCATTGGAAACGTTGGCGAGAATTCGGAACACAGCTGCGAAATGACTCAAGCAAGAGAAAGTATCTTGCAGTAAGAGATTTGAAAAAACTCCGTGTTTAATTTACAAAGGGAAAAATTGAGGTGTCTTGCTTAAAAGGTGTGTTCCTGCGTGGTAAACGCCAGTTGCTGTAGAGCTCTATAATCTTCCAAATCAAAGCATAATGAGAGTCAGTGGCTAGAAGCCACAGTCGAATTTGGTTTATTTCAAATTTAAATGTTTCTAACAATGGAGTGATTAACTATGAAAACAGGCTGACAGTGGAAGCATGTTGTCTGATGGCTATCGGCTCTGATCTAAAAACATCAACACATACGGCTTAGCCCAGGAGAGTTACAGGGTTAATTACAGATGTAGCTGGGTGAAATGTAAAGACCTGTTTCAGGAGAGCCAGAGGAGATGATCTCATGGTTCCCTCTGGCCTTGAATGGGTGAATACATCAATTAAATACAAGTGCTTTTGCCAGCTGGAAATGGTTCCTCTAAATTGTGAGAAACAACAGAAAGAAGATTGTGATTAGTAGATCCCAGGTTTTTCAACGGTGTGTTTTGTTTGCCTGGATGTTTTTTGCATTTTCAAGTGTTGCATATTATAGGTCCTGTGGTTTGAATGGTTCTGAAAATGCCTGGTCTATGTGAAAAACATAGAAATAGCCCAGCGATGCTTTTCAAGAGTCGCCATAAATCAGTACTTGGGCAGAAGGGGAGACAGAGCAATTGTTGTTCACCTTTTAACTCTGCTCAGCTAGCCCGAGTAAGTGACACTGTTTTACTCACCAAGTTTCAGACAGTAGCTATCCTCTTTTCAGAGCCCCGTATTTTTTGATGAACGCTGTTTTAAGTAGCAGTCTCGCTATTTAGACAATCTCTCTTTCTGGATTACAGTGGTGTATTTGTTCCCTACTTCTGCTTATCTTTGGAAATGCAGCTCTATAGAGGTTCTCACAAAGTTTGACGTGCTTATCCTGAGGTGCTTTCCTCAGGAAGTTTTTAACTGCTTCAGGTTTACAAACCCATTTTGCTACTTCAGTTTGCATTGCAGCAAATTAATGTAAGCTTAGTTATAATTTGATAAATGGAATTTAATCACTTTTCCCATGTGTTTGACATAACTATAGTGAATTCCAAGCGAATTTCCTCACCCCGCAACGACCCATAGCCTAACCTAGATTCCCTGGTATATTATTGCTTTATATTTTAAAGCTTGATGATATTGAGTGTGATAACTGACTAAAAAAAGGTCTGGCAGTTCTTTTCTCTGATCTATTATTTAGTGACCTGCCTTAGCATGAATGAAGGTCATGGAAAAAACAGTCTTCGGGTGGTGATGCCCCATTTTTCCATATCTTTTAGAAACTTTTTAATAAACTTTTTTCCAGTTCTTTGAGAAACTGGACCTTTTTTAGTTCTTCATGCACTATTGGGAAGTAGATCCACTGGCAAATGCAACTAGGTTTTTTTGTTGGGTTTTTTGGTTTGTTTGTTTTACATTTTTGCTATAATTCTAGTAATTTTTGTATTTTTTCTATAATTCTATAATAAATGCTATAATTCTGTAAATACAATTTTTTCATATTGGTGTATACAGTTTAGTGTAATCGTGTCTTCATCTTTTTTCCCCTTTAGAGCACTATATGTAAGTCTGTGCATGTACAGCAACTTTAATGCATAGAAAAGCCTTTACCATACCATGTTGTACAGTAGCACCACATGTTGTACTACTGACGGAATAAGTGATTATTTTCTTAGATGCTTTCAAGGTATGTGTGTTGTCACACACAGAGTACTTAATTGCAGCTGTTTGAGGGATTACAGGTCTTCAATAGATTCAGGCTTTAAAGAGCAATGCTGACCCCATCTTTAGAGCTGAAGACTTAGACTTTTGCTTTATTGGCAGTTTTGCTCAGGTTTTAGACCTTCCTCGATGCTATGAGCACTTTACTGCTACAGTGTACCCTGATTCCTGCTATTGGTAAGGGTACACATTTCAATATTTGCAGAAAGCAGAAATGTAGTAGCTGGTTATTCAAAGAAGCTTGAGTAGGTTTAGGGGAAAAAAAAAAACAACCAACCAAAAATTCTTTGGCATTCTCCCTGGCATCTTGTTTTAAAATAACCCTGGTACCATGGTTACAAGGCTAGTCACATCGCTGTTTCTCCTGGGGATCTCATGTTGTGCATCCCCATATGTTCTCAGGAGATGAATTCCTCCGTTTGCTCGCTCCCACCCCGTGCAGATCCGCTGTGATTGCTGTAGCAGGGCCAGTGGGGACTGGTCCTTGCCAAAGGTTTTCTTCCGGATCCCGTCTCCTGGTGGGTGATTTGGATGCGAAGTCTTCAAAGTAAATGCCACACTTTTTTTTTTTTTACCTAAATGTGGAAGATGAGCAGGGCCGAAGTAGGAAACAAAAAGGAATTAATGTTCTGCACCCAAGTTTAATCTGTATTATCCTGGAGCCAGCGCTGCTTCTCTGGAGGTGTGTTTACAGTTGGAGGGAACAGATTGCAGCAGTTTTTCATGTCTCTGGGAGTCTTCGCATCTAGTTATCCTTTTCCACTACCGTGCTTCAGATAGCTCTTATCTTGCTTACCCCACTTACCTTCCTATGGAAAGGTTTTGTGTGTGTGTGTTTTGGTAATTGACTTATGCTATTTATTAAAGAAAAAGCAACACAAAACACCCCCCCACCACCACCACTCCACAAAACTGCAATAAAATTCCTTGACCTGGCTAAACAGCTCTGTAAAAGGAGCTGAGGAATCTCTCTGTGCAACCTCAAACCTGACCGTTGTCTTTGAAGGGCTGCTCCTTATCTAGGCTATTGTTCCTGCTTTCCTGTCTAATTTCTTTAATGGGTTTTTTACAGCCTTTTTTGATTTAACTCTGTTTATTCAGGCAGACAGCAGTACAAAATTCAGTAGGAAAACAGTACACATAGAACTAGCTGATCTTTTTACCTAAGGATGTGTTCCAAATTTATCTTTAAAGAAAAAAAGCCCCAACAAACCAAACTTGCTAGAAAAGAAATAAGGGGAAGGATGACTTGGAAGACCTAGTATGGACTGATAGCGCAGGCACGTGCATGTGTTTCTCTCACGCCGCGCAGTTAAATTTAATTTTTATGTTTGTACTTAGGTTAATCATATTGCTCCTCTGGAAAAAGTAGGTTATGTCTGAGCGTGAATAACACGTGTCGACTTAAGGGATAGTTCTTCCCAGGAAATACTTTTCAGAAATGTTATATATTCCCTCTTCAGCGCTGTGCCACGGCGGAGATCTGGATCCCATGTGACTGTTTTGGTGGGTTATGATTCCTCGTTTCTAAGGCAGTACTCGTGCTTGTTTTTTGAGAGGGGAAGTTTGTCCTCTGCCAAGAACACCAAAGACCAAACATTCTACTAGTTACTATATTAGGCTGAGTCACGATAACTGTAAACTTTGTGTATTTTTATTCCATAAAGAGTAATAATTTGCTACGGTGCCAGCGTAAAGGTGATCTGCAGGTTAAACGTAGCTTCAAGACGGCTTCTGATGAAGGAGGAGGAGGAAACTGCCACCTTAAAATGAGCTTTCTCATTTTAGTACTATCAAAAAGGGTTAATTATTCTTCCCTGGTTTTCTGAGGTTAGTGCAGATGAGGATTTTTTTCTCATCAGCTGAAGCCTTGTGTTGCTACGAGCTGTCGGCCCCGTGAAGCTGATGAGCCAGAAGCTGGAGCACAAGTGCGTGTGGCAGCTCCTGCGCGCTGACTTGGTGCCTTGTGAACACCTAGTGCTTTCACGCAGGATAATGTCCTCCACTGCGAGATTCCTCACAGTTAACCTCTTGTGTGAACGCTTCTCAAACGTATTAATATGAATTATTGAGAGTACACCTCTGATCATGCACCTTAATTTATGGCACAAGAAGCTTTTGTTCTCTAGTTATCCTGGGAGGTTTCCCCCAACTAATAGAACGTCTAATGTAAAAATTTGTATGAAATCCTAATTTACTTTTCAGTATGTAAACAGGAAAATTACAGTCTTTGTGTTAGCAGGTTATATCCAAGCTCTCTGCCAAGGCTACAAAATATTCCTCATTGTATAATGTGTGCTGGAAAACACAAATGGAAAAAAAGCCAATGGCCCTGAAAATGTCCACGTTGAATTCAATGAACCGCTTGAAGAGGTTTTCATTAACATTTGCTTGTTTTCATAATGCTAGATGCGGGCTGAACAGATTTTCATACAAATAGGGCACAACATATTGTCATTCTGACCTGCAAGAACCCTGCAGTTCTGGCTTGTGGCCCTTCTTGGCAGGTGTCAGCCACACTGAACGCCTTTTGCTTCTTCACTTAATTTAATTCTTCCCTCTCCTGGGCATTATGAAAAGCTGTATCTTGCAGACATTGCAAGTGATGGGAATGGCTGTAAATATGTAATATTATAAGTTTGAAAACAACCGGTTTCTAGTCTTCCATTTAGGAGTGTGTGTTTTTTTGTCTTAGGATTTCTAAGAAAAAAAACTATGTGCTGATAGAAATTTGTGTGAAACTGTAGTACAAATGTATTGCCTTTGGTACACCAGTTACACTGAGTCTTGTTAAACATGTTTTTAATCTTATAGCCACATCAAGTCACCTAATAGAATTGTGGCCTTCAATCATGACAAACATCCTGAATACCAAACTGGACAGAAATAAATGCTAGGGAAGTGATTCCCCCCCGCCCCGTAAACAATTTGGTTGTGAAGACCTGTTCAATGTTAAAACAGTGATAGGCAAAAGAATAAGCAGCTTGAAATAAGAACCGGTCACACCGTTAATGTGCTTTTTGAAGATAATTGAACTGAAAACTTTTTCACTCTTTGGTATTTTAATTTGGAAATGCAGTAATGCATGTTGTGTCTCTTATTGCTTTAGGTTGGTGGAACAAAAGCTGGAGTTGTGCGTTTCTTGGGAGAAACAGACTTTGCTAAAGGGGAATGGTGTGGAGTAGAACTGGATGAACCTCTGGGGAAGAATGATGGAGCTGTTGCTGGAACAAGGTTAGTCTATCATCAGATAGCAGCCGCCTTAAAGATTTTTGGATCTCTGTTTTGTTTTTTTAATATCTTGCATGAAACTTTATATCAAGAGAGGTAGTTAGGCTGTAAACCTGACTGTCTGCTGATGGAAAATTAGTCGGTGATTTGAATCTTATGACGCCTACACATCCCTGAAAGTCTGCATCAACACCGCATTCATGGGATTATTTGCTCGCTCCTAATCCCATGTGAATTTTATTCATAGACTGGTAGTGGAAAACACAATTACCTGCTTTTTGAATGTCTGCTTGGTTTCTCAGCTTGTAATGAATGCTCAGTTAGGAAAATATCTCTGGGTGTCTAATAGCTGAACTTAAGGGAAGTCTTAGTGCATCACAGGAACTGATAGCCTCTATACCGATAGTTGCCTTGCTTTAAGGATTGGGAACAGTATAGCAGCTTCCTCCAATAAGTCACACTTAGACAGCATTAATTCACATCACAATTTAACGTTCTTTCTCATTCGGTATAAGGAACAATCCTTAAACTCATGAAGAAGAGGTTTTACAAGGATTGTGCCGCCTTAACGTAGGTGATCACAATTTAAAATTTTAAGTGGCTTTGTTTCTGTATAACCAAAAATGTGTTCTGTATAATCAAATATGCATAAAAAAACATAAAACTAATTGATTTAATTAAAATCTGATTTTATTTTTAACTCTCTGCTGTCACATCTGCTGCTGGCAGCTCAGAGGAATGTATCAAAGAGGAAAGTTGTGCATATTAAACTTTGAATGAAATTTTTAGGAAACAGAGAAAGAGCTCTAGATGAAGCATATTCTCTGTTGAGTTTCTGAAGTCTGCGACTATCATGCTCTTTCAAAGTCCTATTTATAAATCTAGTGTTAAAAAAAAAATAATTGCAAACTAACTTAGATTAGGTTGTCACTAGGTGCTACCCTGTTCTTTTAATACTTTTAGACTATTGATCTAGAATTCTTTGTGAAGCCAGACCATGTATCTGAAAAGACAGAAGTTAATTTAGTACTCTCATCTGTCTGCTTTCCTTTTATGAAGGTATTTTCAGTGTCAGCCAAAATACGGTTTGTTTGCTCCAGTCCACAAAGTTACGAAGATTGGATTCCCATCAACCACACCAGCGAAAGCAAAGACAACTGTGCGAAAAGTGGTTGCGAATCCCACGGCGCTGAAACGTAGTCCAAGTGCATCTTCCCTGAGCTCGCTCAGTTCTGTGGCATCTTCAGTAAGCAGCAAGCCAAGCCGTACAGGACTAGTAAGCTTCTTTTTCTATTGCATGCTTTATGTTGCCAAGCAGGAAACCACGTGGCGCTTGCCTGTGGTCTGCTTGCATAAATTGAGAATAGAACAGATCTTGGGGGAGAGCACAATATACATTTAATTGTGCTCCCTTTTTCGTTCAAAGCATGCATGAAGGAAGGAAATCTTAGCTAGCCCTGAAGAGTAGCTGAATATTTGAATATTTAAGCTTACACAGTTAATTCAGTCTAACTTGAGTTATTGCAGTAAGAAAGGGGCTTGTGATGCCAACAAACTGAAAAGGCATCAATGTTCTCTGACTGTAATTTCCATTTAGTTGCTCATTTTCGTAGCACTACCTCTGTCATGTGGGGTTTGTGTTTGACAATCTGGTATGCACTAGAGCTTCCATACATTAAACTTGTTTGAATATTAAGTAGGAAGCTTCAAATTGTCTAAAATGTAAAAGGTTTTCTTTTACTGTTAAAGAGATGAGTCAGCTGAGAAGTACAGAAGTAGCAATTGTCAACTCTTCGCTGACAAGAAGCCTCTTTCTTTTCTTTTAGATTTGGTTTTAATCCTATGAATTCATAAAGGCTAAATGTTGCAAAGTACAGTGGCTCAGGTGAATTCTAACACAGTACTAATTCCACCTAATACACTTACTATGGTTTCTTGTAAAGTTACCCTGTTGCATAAATGTCCTAGTCTTGGGTTGCAGCCATAAAGTGGAAATCTTCTGGGAAAGCTGAATTTTAAGAAGCCTCTCTTTTAAGGCAATTAAAAGCATAGAAATAATTGGGTTTTTTCCACAGTCACCCTAGATTTTTACTTTTTTTAAACCAAAGTACATAAATACATCTAATTAGAAAGAGATGACTCAACTCCCACTGATCTGGAACCAGTTAGCTGGCATACTGTCCCACTGACCAGCAGGTGCGGAACTCAGATGACTTACTATACTCCTTCAAAACTGAAGCAGATTACAAGTGAACAGGGGTCAACAGTTGGTCAGGGCAACAGGGTTAATACCACAAGGGATTTTTTTATTTGGCACAAAGAGTAGGACTTTATTACTTAACCCCTTCTGGAAGTTGCTCTTCCAGCTGCAGAGTGCCTCCTCGTTGGAAACCGGCGCTTTAACATACGGTGCTACCGCAGGTTCAGCTGAGGGTGAAGCATTAATATGGACCTCTACTTTTTATTCCGTATGCTACAATACTCTAAGCACAAGAAAGTACAGTTACACGTTGTAAATGTCTACTATATATTTGCTTATTTTGCCCCTGTGTTGTGCCCCCAGGGTTTCTGCATGTTTTGGGCCATAAAATACAAAGCTTCTGTAATCCATTATATCTGGAATTAAAATTCCGACTCTCTTTCTCAGGCAACATGAACATTTGGTTACCAGCCAACTTAAAAGGACCGTCAAAATAATTCTGACACTTTTTCTTTAAAAGTTAAGCTGCTGAAGGAACAAGACTTCCTGAAATCAGTTTTGACACATCAGACTTCTTGTGCTTCAGTTTCTAGGAAAACTATAATTTATCTGGAAATTGCTGGACTCTTACATAGTCGTCTCAATTATTCAGGGCTGTTGCTGTTTCCTTCTTCCTGTGTAAGAAAAGCAACTGTCAAAGTAGGTGATGTAATGATTTAAGAAGGCTGTCTGATGCAATTTGTATTTATTTCCAAGTCTGGAGGAAGTTGATGCTTCTCTGAAATCTCTTGGATTTCTTTTGGAATGAGGAATTAAGTCAAGCTTGATTTGAAGAGCTAGAATTGCTAAAAAGCAATACATTCTGGAATGAGATCTTCTAGAAACTGAGAGGATCTGAAACAACTAATCTAAGCATCAAAGTGGAAGATGGTTTATTCTATCTTGTACCTTTTCAGTCACTTGATACAGCGTTTGCAGTGGATTGTAGACATACCATTCAAGGCTGTGAGCAGACAAGTTAAGAGAGATTGTGTAGTAATCATGGTAACAGAAGGGGAAGTGTGTTTTTGTGATGACAGGAGAATACGTCCGCGTTATGCTCTCTGTTGGGAATGTTGTCCGATGCTAGCATTCCAGCCTGTATATGGCAACTACTCTTCAACATTTTGATCTCTGAAAGGATCGTGGAAGAAACATGCTCCTGTTCTTGGGCAATACTATTAGACAGAGCTAAAGGCTAACATAATGGAAGAGCAAGCCTTTGTGTATTGGTTTTTGTGTTAAATAAGGCTTTAACCAAGATATCATTAAATACTTAGACAAATTTCTGACCTGTTAAGCTTTAGAGTCAGTTTTTATAAGCTGTAGTGGATTTTTTTGGTTCAGTTTTTGCTGTTTTCACAACTATTGTTTACTTTTACTACATAATTTCAGTTTATTTACTTTCCCTTCTAGCTCAAAAACACTTGAGGAAGTAGAAGACAGGGCCATGCTGAATTTTCACTGTCACTGATTCCGTTCAGTGGAGCAGAGATCATGCAAGGTCAAGGAAAACCCTAAGGTTCATTTTAGCTATAGTTTTCCAGATTGATTAATTTTTATCTATACTCTTTAAGTTTTTTTTTCCAGAAGTAATTTAATTCCAGGTGATATAAACATATGTTTTAATCAGATACCAATTGCTCTTCTTCACAAGGTTTTAGCTGTAAAGCTGTCTTTTTAGGTCAAGGTAAATGCTTTTCATCCTGGATGTTTTATTGCCGTAGTAGAGGTGCCAAATGCTAGCTGGAGTTCCAAAAGCTTTTGACAGAGCATTTGGAAGTATTATACTGTGTTGCTGGTGACCCAAGATGATGACTTGATAACTAGAGGCACAGTGTTTTTAACTTGCTGAAAGGCTGCCTTTCTTTTTTTAATGCAAAAAGACGCTTAGAAACATAATGAGCTAGCCTTTGTGTGAGTCTACTAAGCACACCTTCGACTGAGGGCAGCCTTTTGCTTTCACTTCAACCCTTCTGTCTCCTACACACTAGCTGCTGATTGCCACAAAGCAGTCTTACTACACATGTATGGCCATTGTTAAATTTTAGAAAATGAAGTACATTTAAATGTAAAAGGAGATGATACAGTAGGTTACAGAAAGGAGTTGCTTTACTAACCCGATGTTTGTAGAGTCTGGAGATATCCCTTGTTTTCACTTGATACAGAATGATTTTTAACATATTTGCTTTATGAAGTTGACAGAAACATCCTCCCGGTATGCAAGAAAAATTTCTGGTACCACAGCCCTCCAGGAGGCACTGAAGGAGAAGCAGCAACATATTGAACAGCTCCTGGCAGAAAGGGACCTGGAGAGGGCAGAAGTTGCAAAAGCAACCAGTCACGTAGGGGAAATAGAGCAGGAATTAGCACTTGTTCGCGATGGACATGATCGGGTAAGAGTGGTGTTGCTGCTCTTAAAATAGAGGCTTTTATACAGTTGACTTAATTTCCAAAATTGTGTTTTCGTATTGAAAAGGTACTGGAGTAAGAGCCGTTGTTCTAAAACTGAAGTAGTTCATACCTGTGACATCTTCCTCGTGGGAGCTTTGGCTTTTTGAGATAGCAAATCTACTTCATTTAACTCATTTTTGTTGAACTTCTCTATACATCTCTACAGTCTTTTATTATATACGTATTTGAGTATGATAACATTCCCGTCCCTTGGCCCATCGCTTTACCAAATTGTGATTGCTGAGGTACAGATACATAACTTGGAAAAAATTCACGTGTTGCCTAACTAAGTGGATTTTGTTCTTATTCCTCCTGCTGATTAGCATGTACTGGAGATGGAAGCAAAAATGGACCAGCTACGAGCTATGGTGGAGGCTGCTGATAGGGAGAAAGTGGAGCTTCTCAATCAGCTTGAAGAAGAGAAAAGGTAACCCAAAACTGTCTTTATTAGTGTAACTCTGTTAAAAACAAACTTTGCATTAAAAGCAAGTGCTGTGGTGACTTTCAAATATGAAACAGATTATGAATAATGCCGATATGGGTAATTATTGTATCAAATAATATTGCAGCTTCTTAATACTAAAAAAGCCCTTCCTTAAGTTTGGTGAGGGAAAGCCAAAGAAAGTGGACTTGCATAGAGGCTCTAACTGTTGTTTATAGCTGAATTTTATGCACCTTGTTCCTGTTAGTATTACTTTACCTCATGAAGGATTTTATTCCTACTCTCATAAAATTAATGGATCATACCTGATCATCTTCTTGAAATGCTCTTCTTCCACTTCCAAATGAAAATTTTGATAATCTCATTTCCTGACAGTGCTGGATTACGAGTTTACAGTTTAGTTCTCCTGTGAATAATTTATTACTGTTAGTCATATGCTTCTAGGTAGGGTCTGTCTCTTACAGGAAAATCATTAAAGCTGTTAATGCCTTTTCTGATTCCTTTTCGTAACCATTTGAGGAAAGGAACTGAGATTACCAAATAGGTAAAATGAGGTTAGGAAAGGAAATAATCTGATAAATTGTTCTCGTGGGTTTGGAATTCTTTTGAAAAGCAAGAGTCTGCGTAGAAACCCATTGTGAGTCTGCCCTGTAGGCTTGTGTGCACCCCTGAAATCAGTCAGATGTCAGCCTCTCTGAAAGGCCTGCCTGCAACTGGAAATTGCAGATGAGAAAGTGCAATGGTAAACCCTGGGCAATTCCTTTACAATTTTCGTGCTGCCTCTTTATCAGAACCACACTAACCGGATTTTCAAAACAAGCAGGAGAGTTAGGTCTGGAATTATTTGTATATTCTCTAGGAAATAATGCAGTGGGTTTTTAAATCTAAAAAAGTGGGTTTTTAAATCTAAAAAAAAAAAAAAAGGGCTTTGCAGCATGCCCAGTAGCCTGGCTGTGGACCTATTTTCGCTGAATGCCAGGTCAGTGGGGGTCTGTTTTACCGCAATCCTCCATGGCCTTGAGCTCACCTTCAGCGTGTTGCTAGGCAGCGTGACAGTGCCGCTGTGCTCCTGCTACCCATTCACCAAAGTGACATCCTACAGCCGGGAAAACGTTTCACGGCTTCAGCAGTGTAATATTTCTCCTTCCTCCTAACCACTCTAAGCTTATTTTCTTTGAAAGTTCTCTGTAATGCGTATTCAAGTCAGCCTCGGCAGTGACTTGAAGTCAAATAATCTTCAGTCCTCTGTTTCCCAGAGCACATTGGTGACACCCACTATTCAGTAATAAGTTCTTGTTCTTTTAGACATTCATCACTTGTAATTCTCTTTGCAGTTTTCTACATCTGTCAGCCAAGCTGCAGGCACCAACAACATGTGTAATTCAAAGGAAAGACGACAGGCTTATCTCTTCCTTTGCAACATCTTCCAGTGTTGAAAGGATCAAGGGGGAAAGAGGAGATCTGGCCTCTTGTTCACTGGGGTATACCAGGGCCGGGGAGGGAAGAAATAACTTTTAACACATTTTTTTTTTTTTAAGTCAGGTATTAGCTTGTCAGCTCTGTCTTCTCATTCTAAGACTCCTGTATGGGCAAGACAAGTCAGTGTTCTTGCTTGGGCTCCCATTCTGCGTGTTGCAGTTCATCTTGACACCCAACGTATGTTTGTCTGTGCTAGAGTTTTGACATGAGTTAACCAGCGGACTTCTTGAAGGCCCGTGGGTGTGTCCTAACTTTCTGACTGTTTCTTAGACAGAATATGAGATCACACTGTTCGTTTAGGTCACCTCTTTTGAGGACATGCAGAAGAGTGAAAGAATGAGAGAATCAATGATGACTTAAAGGTTTTCTTTCTAATTCGTCAGAAAATGCATCACAATACTTCATAGAGCTGCGGGAAGACTGATGCCTTTGTCAGTGGTTGTGTTTTAAGACAATGGCTTTCCTTCTCTCTGTTGCCTCCTAGGAGAGATTTGTCCTTAATGTTTCTGGCAGTTTGCTGGTACCATCAGAATGATGTCGCTGTAGTTCTGATTTTCACTGAAAAGTGAGCTTGAAAGCATTTTCTTTCAAAGTTATCTGAATGTTAATGAATTTTGTCCCCACAGGAAAGTTGAAGACCTTCAGTTCCGTGTGGAGGAAGAATCCATTACCAAAGGAGACCTAGAGGTAAAATAGCTCCAGCTTTCTAGACAGGATATATAGTAGGACACAGAAATACAATTAGTTCAGATTAAGTGTGCTGTGTTCTAGAAGAGGAGGACAGGGATGATTAATAGATGCAATACTGGTCCAAGCATATGCAAAGCACATGAAAGTGGTTCCCAGTTCTACAGTCCTTGAGTAAGATAACTGTCCAGGATTGCACCCTTAATTCAGTTACACGCTTCAGCAAGGGCTATACTGTGGAACAGCTGTAGTTGTTTAGAGTAATTAATTCATAGAAAACTCTACTTTTTGATACTTGATTGTACATTATATGTTACTGATGTTTCTGAAATTGCTTAAAAGTATCCACCAACAAAAAATTATTTTGCAGTTATGAAATTGCAAGTTAATATTTATTATAAGTATAATAAATACGACTAGTCTTATTATTTATAAGACTAGTCCTGTTTGTCTTAGATAATTTTTTTAATAAACCCTGTGCTTTCCTTTGGGAAGATTGATTAGCAAAGAATGTTTTGTCCTGAGAGGTATTGTACACAAAATCTAAACAGCAATTAATGTGTGCAGTTTTTGTGTTTCTGCTGTTTGCATAACTATAACATTGGGCTAAAAACACAGTATGTTATTACACAATCAGAATAGGAAACACTTGAAGATATTTGAACCCTGCCAATTTTTATCCCAAATTTCAAATTAAAAAGCAAGGTACTTTTTTAGTGGTTCTGCTCTGTTGTTGTCCAATCAGAAAAATATTAGAACCTATTGCACAGCATAAAGTACATACTTAATTAACTCATGTTCCTGTGAACCGTTTATGATCAAAGTGCTAGCCTTATGGAAATTATTCATTTCATATAACATTTCTTTTATTTTAGTCTTCCATTCATTTTAAGATACCTATTTAGAATCTTCATAGAATGCTCCTTTTATTGTTTAGTCCATGGAAAATGTTAATTTTTTATTTTTTGTTAAATCAGGCGATAGTCATGGCAAACCATCTTAACGACTCTGGTTTGTCAAGCTACGTAACTTAAACTTTAAACGGAAACTTTAGACAGAAACTTTAAACTTTCGGTTTAAACAGAGTTTACACTGAATTAAAGATAATGAAATGTATCCTGTTGTTTGTGTTGGAATGATAGTGCTAAGTCTGCAGGTGAAATATTTCTGTTTGTTTGTTTTTTTAATTCTACTGATAGCGAAAGAGGCAGATTTCGGAAGACCCAGAAAATGTAAGAGGGCACTTAAATGTGCAGAGACATCCCATGTTAACAGATTGTGTGCAGAAAATGCTTATACTTATTCACTAACTGCATAATCTGTTATTGAAACATTGACTCTAGTATTTGTGTGCATGTTGCTTTCAGAGCAATTACAACATTTATCAAAAAGAATGTGTGTAATGACTAAACGTTGTAATCCTCATTAACTAAAGAGAGGGTGAATGTGTCATTAGAATTCTTTAGGGTCAAAAACTTTGCAACTAATTGAAGAGTGTAGGAGCTTGTAGAAAATGACTGTCCAGGATCTTGAAATGTCTTTCATTTAAAGGTAGGATGTTAGTTGCTTTCTTCACAAAATTCTACATGTTTTCCTATGAGCTCCTACTGCTATTCAATAGATGCACATGCAATTAGCCGATTAATTTTTCTGAGGGAAAAAAAAAATGGGAATTTTTTCTACCTCCCCTTATTTGTTTCAGTTTTATGCCGTGAAATGCTAAGGGGAGAGATGACTAAAAGTATCTGATGGATTAGTGTGCAAAGCTATCTGTTTTTACTGAATCTTCCTGTAGCTTCTCTTTGAATTAGGTAGGAAAAATACACGTTACTGGACAATAGAAATTGCCCTACAAGACATTTAAGCAAGCCTCCTGCTTCCGTAGCTCAGAATAGTGGGATTTAAAAGCCCTCTCTTTGATTGGACTCAGGAAAATTTGTCTCAGGCTGCTTCCCCAGCTGAGATAGGACGTTCTCAAGACTAAAACTGGTTTCCTGCTGTGCATTCTTAGGTGTTCCTTTTGCGAAGCTACTTCAGCGATCTGGGTCTCCTCTATTCTTCCAATCAGGCTCACGGTGTGTTAGAAGTAAATCTGCATGTGCCCTTCCTTTCTCTTGTTTTGTGCACTCCTTGTTTAATCCTATCTTTACTCCTGATTTCCCTGTTCTAATTTTTCCCATAAAAACGGACATCTTCACCCTCTAAAGGAGAGGAGTGGGTGATCACTTAGTTTCTAGGCTTATGCTTCATAATGTTAGTCGTGTTCTGTGATTGTTATCCCAGCACGAAGGGACTGAAGGTCATCTTGCCCCATCCTAGAACTGATTATCAGCATTTATGGCTTCAGCACAATTTCACAGTTTGACCTATAGATGGAGAACTTAACCGTAAGGTTTATTTTGAAGTGAAAGAGTAGCTAGAATACACAAATGCTGAAAATAGCTGGTGACTGCTCTCTAAAGTTTATTTGAGTGGAATTTAAGGTTCAAGGCAGAGTAAGGCTCGTCCCGTTTCCCTATCACTCTTAATGTACCTGCAAAGCTTTGGAGAAGGTGAAGGTGTTTCCTTTTTGGGCTTGGGGTTTTTTTGAGGGTTTTTTTTTCTGTTTTTCTTTTCCATCCAAGTTAAGGTTTACAATCAAATTCTTTTCCTCTTTTTAATGGTACTCTGCTCTTCTCAGTTTACTGTGCTCTGGGTTTCCTCAAAAAGGAACATAATCATTGAGACGTTTCTCTCTAGGTGATCAGGAAAGAAATTTGGGTGATTCAAAAATTTGCAGTGATTTTTACCTTGGGAAAACTGGAGCCTGTCCTTTAGAAATCAGGCTTGTTTAGAGGATAATCGCTCATCCCCTAAATGGGGAAAATGGTGTCTGGCAAAGATCTCTGGTGTTTTGGGTTTTTTTAATATTTTATTTCATTTTAGTAGGATTATTATTTTCTTTCCCTTTGTAATATAGAAGAGATGGGTTTTTAAAAAAACAAACAGTAATCACTGACAGTATATCCGATCTTTGCGGTAGTAAAGCAGTGTCTATAAAATTAATGGTGTTAATTTTTATATTAAATTTATATTTTATTTTACTAAAAAGTGTTATAAAATTAATAGATCAAAATGCTTTGGATTTTATGTAGCATAGAAAAACTTAAGAGAGCATATTTTGCAAAGCGATGCAAAGAGAATTCTGCAACTGTCAGGTTTGGGGTTTCTTGTTTTTTAATAGATCCCTTTGGTGAATTGGAGCAAGAAAGGTATGAATGTTCAATTTTTAAAAATAGATTACTATTCAGACTTACAATTTTATTGTGGATCAGAAGCAATACTTACTGGTCTCACGAGAGGGGACTGAATTAGAGCCACTTATAAAATATTGTTATTTCCCTTAGAATACTTAGTTCCATTTTCAAAGGTTGTGGGAGGCAAAACCAGAAATCCATGTTCTCATGGGTGTTTTTCCCCACATACACTGAGGATCTTCCACTGATAGAGAAAGGAACCTGCTATGGAATTTCAAAAACTAGACAAATCTAAGAAGGAACTGTTAACGTTTGTGGATTTTAGTATTTTGGACCTAGTAACTACCTAGCAAAACAGCCAACTGTTTTCAGCTGGAAAGATGTTTAAAAAATTAAACCAGATGTCTGCATGCTTTTGCGAAAGAAGATAACTTGATGCTGTCAGAAGGAATACTGTGTTTGGAGGAGAACGGGCCTGAAGCAAAACAAGAGGCTCATCCCCATCCCACTTGCTCTGCAGAGACAACGTAAGATCTTTAACTGCTGCGGCTGGTTTGGGAGCAGCACTAACCAACTTGTCACTCTATAAATAACACAGTTCTGTAGGGATTTTTAAATATTACATTACAAAGATCAGAGAAGCAGCAGTGTCCCGCCAGCTGTGCACACACTGCTGCGCTGTGGCTTTGGCAGCAGCGTGGCTTTGGAATTATTCACACATCTTTCTGCCTTTTCGGATTCTCTCAATGCGGTGTTCAGTGGGTCGCTCTTCAGGTTGCAAGACTCTCTTCTGTTAATAGCAGTTCATAGGCTTTGGGGGTCACTGTTATTTTTTTCTGCGGTAAATTACGCGTGGCAGTTAAGCTGTGTGGAGAACTTTCATCAAGACTGATGGATGCAACTTCTTTGGTTAATAAACACATCTTACCCTACCCAGGCAGAACTTCATTCAGTCTTCTTCTGGACATCCACCTTACTCTCGATGTGGGCAAGCTCTGAAAAGCTGCTCTTTTTGGAAAAGACACTATGAAGCAACAGTAGACTTTCATAATCCTTTTAATTTGGATTGTTTAGTAAATTTCTACTAACTGTGACCTGTCAGGATTGACACAATACTCACATCTCGGCACTTCAGAAAGAGGCGTGGCACCCGATTCTTACCTCTTTATATTGCTTTTTTCTTTTTTCTCCGCTCCCTCCCTTCCCCACCTCAGAGGTGCAGGTCAGATTTGAATTAGCTGCTGGACTTTACCTGCATCTCTCAAACTTCAAGCTCTCTTGCAGGTCTCTCGGAGTATTTGGGTGTCAAGCCAGAATATCCGATACTCTCTGTTCTTGCTAAAAATTCTACCCCTTCATAAGCAAAAGGCAGGAGGTACCTGCTTACTTAGTTTCACCTCCTTCTTGTTAGGAACCTATTAGAATTACAAAGTTCTTACATTTTTGTTCCTTTCTTCCACATCTTGTTCAATGTATTCAGACTTCAGGAACTATAGAGCAACCAGACTGATGCACTTTTTCACCTGGTTTTGGAGAATCTTAACTTGCTACTTCCTTCCTGAAAGAGGAGGAGGGGGGAAAAACTAGGAGGGTTCTGCAGTTGTAGACCACCATTCTCTTTCTATTCACATCATTCCTACCACAGAGACAAATGAACCTTAAAGTTCCCAGTCGTACCAAAAAGGATTTTTGTAGCTGAGACTTGAGATACAGCTACTATTTAAAAAAAAGTTTTGATTTGTCACATGAGCTTCAGTGGTGAATTTTGGTCCCCTGGTTCATAACTAAATCATTTATAAAATAAACTAAATACAGAAAAAAGTTAGTGGGATGACAAGGAAAGGGATTTATCATCCTGTTAGAACAAGTATAGAAATATATACACATATATTTTTTTTACATAACTATTCTAATTTGTGCTGAAAACTTCATGTACTGATAAATAACTTCTACTCAGCTGCATGAAACTTTTTTGTTCATATTCTTCGTTTGTGATTTTTTTCTACCTTTTTTTTTTTACACGTCAGTCCATTTACACTTTCAGTTCATCTTTCTCATCCATAGCGTTTCCCTGTTCATTTTATCCACTGCATCTTCTCTGCTCATCATTGGTAGAAGATTCTGGCAGCACGGCCTGCATGTGGCTCCCTCCTCTTGTGCTGGCATGTGATGGTGGCACCGTTGTGTTCTCTTCCTTTCCCTTTTTACTAACAGACGCAGACCAAACTGGAGCATGCCCGCATTAAGGAGCTTGAACAGAGCCTGCTCTTTGAAAAGACCAAAGCTGACAAACTCCAGAGGGAGTTAGAAGACACTAGGGTAATGGTTTTCACTATTTAAATAACGACTGATTTGTGTTGTGGAAGATTTCTGATGACACAGTCTGCTGGGTATAACACGTGCTGAAACAGATCCTTGCTCCTGCCGTGATCAGTACCTGCTATAGATGTAGCTGAAACACTTTAAAAATTAGCGTTAATTTTGAACTTTGGTGTGTGTGTGTATGCCTGTATATGTATACGCTCATTTCTTCAGAAGAATTCAGGTAAGATGTCTTAAAACTGCAAAAGTAATACTTGAATCCAAGTCAAAAGTAGCAAATGGGGCTCTGAATTGACATAAAGAAATGTTCAGTTGTTCATTTTTAAATGCAAAGTTCATTAAATCCCAAAAAAGTAAGGTCAACTGTACCAATGCTTTTAACATGAACTTAGTATTTGGGGCTTGGTTCCTGAGGTCTTCAATAGTTGTTGTACTACTTGCTTCGCTAAATCATGATTTGTAGTGGCTTTTTAGTTCTTTTTTTCCACCCATGACAATCTTTTCATGGATATCCCAGTAGCATTAGTACTGCTGTTGCCCATCAAGATATTACTAGACGTACTTTGTCCCAAGTCAGAAGTTCAGCAGATGTGCATTCTTAAAGATGGATGGATGATGGATAGGTACATACTCATGCTCACACATAATGGCTTTTCTTGAAGTTGAGGTAGGGATGAATCTTATAGAACCAGGAATGTACTCCGTAATAAGTACTTTTAAAAAGCAACTGCAGGTAAGTAATACCTTTTTCAGGATGTTGGTATAATAAGGAGACTTAAACAGTAACTTCCTAATTAGAAATAGTTGTGGTAGCTTTGCATGCTCTTCCATACCATAAGCTGCTTCAACAGTCAGTTAAAAACTCAGATAATGTGAGAACCCTTTTTCAGAGAGAACAATGGAGTGGCTATAGGAGTTTCCGAGGATTTGTAGGCTAAAAATATGTTTGTATTTTTGTCTGACAGTTTCATAGCTGGCATGAGATGAATTTGGAAGCAATTATTTCGACAAAAAAAGTCCTCAGGGTTCTCCTTTTTCAGTCTGCTTTAAAATGATACTGAGAAACATTTTGTTAAGCATTGATAATATACACAAGCGTAGTTTGTAAATGGTTTAACAAGTTGTTATTTCTAGATAACTTCAGAAAAATGAATTTAAATAAATTCCACCTTCAGAAAGAATATAATATGCATGTAATACAAAGACATGGACGTTTTCCCTTTTTTTTAAAGCAATGATTTATACATAAATGAAACAACAGTTGGTCTTGTTTCACAGCCTTCCATGTAAAAGCAGCATTTGCTTTTACTTTAAGATTTCTTTAGAATTTCCATAGAAATAGGAGTTGGCAGTGAAACTCGGAGGTATTCTAATCCAAAATACTGACAAGAATATACTAATGATGTTACTTTTGCAACACTTGGTGGTTTCTTTTCAGTGAAGCCGAAGTGTCTTTGTATTAAACATATCTTATAATTCTTTCTTCTTTTCTTAAAATACTGTTAATCATAGGTGGCCACGGTATCAGAAAAATCTCGCATCATGGAACTAGAAAGAGATCTAGCGTTGCGGGTGAAGGAAGTAGCTGAGCTTCGAGGGAGATTAGAGTCTAGTAAACACATTGATGATGTGGACACTTCTCTTTCATTGTTACAAGAAATAAGTTCTTTGCAAGAAAGAATGGCAGCAGTTAGCAAAGAACATCAGAATGAGATGAATTCACTGAAAGAGAAGTTTGGAATTAGTGAAGAAGCATTGCAGAAAGAGATCAAATCACTTTCAGCTTCAAATGAGAGAATAGCAAAGGAAAATGAATCCTTGAAAACTAAGCTTGATCACGCCAACAAGGAGAATTCCGATGTAATAGAGCTGTGGAAGTCGAAGCTGGAATCTGCAATTGCCTCCCATCAGCAAGCAATGGAAGAACTAAAAGTTTCTTTCAGCAAAGGTGTAGGAGCTCAGACCGCAGAATTTGCAGAGTTGAAGACTCAGATTGAGAAGATCAAATTAGACTATGAAAATGAAATGTCAAATTTAAAACTGAAGCAGGAAAATGAAAAATCTCATCATTTAAAAGAGATTGAATCACTGAAAGCAAAACTGTTGGCAGTCACAGAGGAGAAAGAGCAAAACCTGGAAAGCCTGAAGACCAAACTGGAAAGTGTGGAAGATCAGCATCTAGTAGAAATGGAAGACACTTTAAACAAATTGCAGGAAGCTGAAATAAAGGTAAAGGAGCTAGAGGTACTGCAAGCCAAGTACAGTGAACAAACCAAAGTTATTGATAGTCTTACACCACAGATCAAAGCTGCTGAAGAAAAGCTTTTGGACCTTGCTGCACTTCAGAAAGCCAATTCTGAAGGTAAATTGGAAATCCAGAAACTTAGCGAGCAGCTTGAGGCAGCTGAGAAACAAATTCAGAATTTAGAGACTGAAAAGATTTGTGGAAGTAGCAAGGTTTGTATCAACATCCATCCTTTTATTTTTACTTCGTTTTTATTTTACATTTGTACTGTTCCAATCTGCTATAGCAAACTCATCACAGAAAAAACAAGTTTTATTGAATGCATATCATAGTACCATCTGAGGAGGTTTAGAGAAAGCATTAACTGAGTCATGTCTCTAAACAGGTTTCTAATGCTTGGTCTGCACCACTAAGCAAAACAAAAAAAAATTCTTTCTGGATTTTCTTGCTGCAGGCTTCGGCATGCCTCTCCTGAAAGCTTTGTGTTACGGAAAAGTTAGTTTGGCTTATTTGAGACAAGAATCCACATATCTTAATATACATATATCTCTCATTGAACAAGATGATGGAAGAGGCTATTAGAAACAAAAGAAAGCAAAAAGGATCCTGGTGGAACTTTTCTTTAAGACAAGGGTATGCAGTGATGTTGGTAGGCACTGTTTCACAGCATTTTGAAGTACAGACTGCAATGTGACACATCTTACCAAGATTTTCCTTGGGTTTGGATGAAATGTCTCTTAAAGTTGGTAGCATGGCATTCAGTACTTGGAAGTTGTTCTACCACTGCAGCTAGGAATAAAAGTGCTAAGATATCATTTCATTTTAGGGGTTCCCCCACATCCCCAAGCTCTGCATGACCTGACAAGCTAGAGCTCTGATTATAAGAATAGTAGGAAAGTAACTGGAAATAACTTTCCTAAACCCTTCACAGATGGTTCCAAAATACTAGATTTCTACGGACCTTTGACTCTATTTTTAAGGCCACACGGGGTTTCTGCACTACCCCTGGGTGTGGTACAGAGCCTTGTGAAAAATTACATCCCTGTATGTGTATTGGTCTGAATAGCCAGTTGAAACATAAATGCTAAATTGTTCAGTTAAAAATTAAAACAATAAAGAACTAAAACTACTAATTCAACTGATACTGTAACTTTTTTGAAATTTTGAATGTACTCAAAAATGTCTGCCATTAAATAATGTTTTCACCGTTAATTCCAAAAGAACTAAATTTTCATGATTTCAAATATATTCCAAGATGCAGTTACTACTGTGATGTATGTAGTCATCAGTGGAAATCAGCTTTGCTCAGTTAACACATCACTTTTTTTTTTCTTCAGTTTTTTTTAATTTTTCATCTTACAGTGATTTTAGTATTATAGTTACTTCTTTTAGATTCAACTTTTAATTTTTTTACTTCTTCATTCATATTTGTAATTTTATTTTACTTCATTTCATCATCTTTGTCAGGCTAGTAATCTGGCCAAAGAACTGCAGGGCAAAGAGCAAAAGCTTCTTGACCTTGAGAAAAACTTGAGTGCAGTAAATCAAGTTAAAGATTCTTTGGAAAAGGAACTTCAAGTTTTGGTGAGTAATACCCGAAAATTTTGACTTCATCCTTTGGATTTTGGTTTTCTTGGTGAGTTTGTAATTGAAATCTGTGGATCAACTCTGAGCGAAGTCTTTCAAAGCTCTTTTACTCATGAAAAGAAGGCAAAGGTTCATGAATAATAGGCACTGTGTCAGAATGAAAAGATCATTTCACCCAAGTTCTGTGTTACCAGGTGTTTTGTCTAAATAGAACTCTTCTATGGATTTCAGATAAAATATTAAACTACACGCTGCTTTTGATTTGGTTTAAATTTAGACTACTCGTTAAGGAACATGTTGCCCTTTATTATAACTGTTGTACAAATCAATGCTTGCTATACGCACGTCTTAAACATGGTTTTTGAAGACACTTTCCACCAGATTTCTCATTTTTCAAATTTAATTAAGTTTGCAAGTATTCCGTAGCTGGGTACAATTCTCCTGAGAAACTACACCAGAGTTAGTAACAAAAAAATATGCTTTTAGGTTTTGTTGTGCCTGTCATAAAATCTTTCCATGGCCATAGTAAATACTTGAAGTTGGTGGGCAAGTCTCACTTCTTACCTTCCTCAGTATCCTCCGTTTTCTTCAGTCTAGCTCCCTGCGGGTAAAGCCAGAAAACACTGGTCTGAGATTGATCACAAGGTTGCAGATGTCCCTTGTTGTAGCCCATGGGCAGTGTGTTTAGCTTCTCGCATTGAGAAGCCCAGAAATGACGTCCCCTACACTGGACTTAGTGGCTGCAGTTCTGTTGCTGCGCTAACTGATGGAGAAGTTACTTTCTACGTTTAGGGACTTGCTTGCAACCGAGGCAAGGGAAAATTTTCATCAGCTTTGTGTGGCTGAATATACCTATGCTAAACTGTAATTCAAAAACTTCAGATCTATTTATGGTAGGAGTGAAGACTCTTCTATTTTGTACTTGAAAAATACCTGATATGAACTCAGTGGTTGAATTATACTGCTATTACCAAACCTTATCTTATCCATTTTTCAGAAAGAAAAGTTTACTAGTGCAGCTGATGAAGCAGAAAATGTTCAACAAACTATGCAAGGTATGTCTGCTGCTAAACTAAATAAAGAACTAAAAAGCTGCAGGTTTTTTTCATGCGTTTTCAAATTTACACCTGGCGATACAGCAGTTTCAGGACCTATGGAAAGGACAGGATTACTTGCAGCCTTTCTTCTTAAGAGTCATGTACCTTGCAAGTAGGTGGATTTATCTGCATCTAAGTAGTTACTAACATTGTTTTCAAAATTTTACTTGCATAGAAACAATAAAAAAACTAAACCAAAAAGAAGAGCAGTTTGCACTCATGTCTTCAGAACTGGAACAGCTGAAGTCTAGTTTGACTGGTAAGAAGTAATAAAATGGAATGTTTTGGAAAATGCATCAGCTTTGTGCTTTCTTATGCCTCCTGCTCAGCTCACCACATGATAATATGTAATGCTTTCACAAATGCCTATACCTTCAAATGAAAGCTTTTTTTTCTAGGCAGAAAACAGCTTTTGTGGCACTGTGTATAGTGACCCAGCAAGGTGATGATAATGTTAAGGAGATGGTGTAGTGAGACAGGAGTCTTCCTGGCTGAGTATATTCCAGATCAATAGTTCAATTCTTGTTTGACATTGCAACAAAATCATGCTGTGGTGATGGTCGGATACCAGACAGAGGCTTGGGGACCTCTGAAGCATTACAAACATAAGAAAGTTAATCCACAGAAGCCTTGTATATAAGTAGTGTTTTCTTTTTAAGGACATCAAAAAGACTGTATATTTGTCCGGTGGTATCCTTCTTCCTCTGTCATAGGAGGGAGTCTTGCTGTATTTTTTTAGTTGTACATCTCAATTTAAAACCAGTATAGAAAGAAATGAAGAATGACCATGTACCCTGTCAACAAGCCTTTCAAGGCATTGTTGGGACTCTAGAAGTCATCCCAAGAGCTGCTCCTGCCCTTGGTGGCAGTTCCTGCCCTGGACTGAGTAATTTTTTTCACTGTAGCTTCGTGTCGCTCGCATTGTTTGTTTTCCGCTGCACTACTAAATAGCTGGTGAGTTGTCTTGCCTGTAAGGTGTGTGTACCTCTCTTTATTATATTGCTGATATGGGTAGAACTCATATAAGCTTCTCGTGACCTGAAATTAAGTGAATCACTTCTGAAAGAAAGATTTCTTGATTAGTTGCTTTTTTACTGTTTCTGAAGAGTTCTTAACCCTCTGCTACAGTTAACAGTTCAAAGGCCAAACAATCTTAATTTTTAATTTTAAAGGGGTGATTTGCAAGGTCTGTAGCATCAACATTTCTCTGTTTATAGTTCTTGACTATCTTATAGCTAGTCTGTGCATACACTTTCTCTTAAATTTACTAGACTGCTAACCTTTGTCTTGCTCAGTGATGGAGAAGAAGTTGAAGGACCGAGAAGAGAGAGAACAGCAACTGACCGAAGCTAAAGCCAAACTTGAAAATGATATTGCAGAGATCATGAAGTCTTCAGGAGATAGCTCTGCCCAGCTTACAAAAATGAATGATGAGCTCCGGTTAAAAGAAAGGTATTCAGTCATTGTCAGAACATTTTCACATCAATTGTTTATTCTTGCACTTCCAGCTACTCATTTCATCTTTTTGTAAATATTTGAACAAGGTGCTCCTGAGAGTCACATTGACATGACAGGTGAACTGTACTCTATCAAACTACATTAATCGAAACACTCTCCTCAGAGTGATTTGAAGAGCATCTAACATTAGAATCGTAGAATAGTTTGGGTTGGAAGGGGCCTTTAAAGGTCATCTCATCCAACCCCCTGCCATGAGCAGGGACATCTTCAACTAGACCAGGCTGCTCAGAGCCCCGTCCAGCCTGACCTGGGATGTGTCCAGGGATGGGGCATCTACCATCTCTCTGGGCAACCTGGGCCAGGGTTTCACCGCCCTCGTTGTGAAAAATTTCTTCCTTCTGGCTAGTCTAGATCTACCCTCTTTTAGTTTAAAACCATTACCCCTTGTCCTGTTGCTACAGGCCCTGCTAAAAAGTCTGTCCTCATCTTTCTTAGAAGCCCCCTTTATGGCTTATAAGAGCCCCAAAGCTAGGCTATTGCAGCGGGGAAGGGCTGCAGGAAGGTCTCCCCGGAGCCTTCTCTGCTCCAGGCTGAGCCCCCCCAGCTCTCCCAGCCTGTCCT